ACAAGAAAGCAAGGGGTTTCTGAGCCACTAGAACATCCCCAGAAGGGGTGTGAGGGGCCCTGCTGCAGGGCTGGGGAGGGAGGGCGTGGGGCCAGAGACAGCCAGGTGAGGAGACACAGCCACAGGACTCCTGAGACCAGGGACCCCAGTGTGTAACTTTGCAGTGCCCCCTGGATGTGTCAGCTGTCTCTTTGTCACCTTAAACCTTCAATGAAATTGTTAGACAGGATAGACAGCTGTGTTCATGGTGGTTTTGAGACATCAGTCGGGAAGAGGCTTGTGCTGGTGGCGAGAAGAGACCAGAAGTCTATGAAGCAGCAAGTACAGTATGATTCTGTGCTTATACAAAAATACATTTCACCGGAATATTAACACTGGCTATATGCTTATTTTAGGATGATGAAATTGTATGTGAATCTTCTTCTTTTTAAGGAAATATCTTTTCTAAAATCTCTATGATGTGCATATATTACTTGAATATATAGAGAGGGAAAAAAAGCCTGTGAAAATTCCATTTTAGAATTGATGTGGATAGAATAGATGCTCACCCTAAACCTGCAGGCCGAGGCACAGGAAAGTGGCCATCAGGACAAGGCCTGACCAGGCGTTCCTCACATCTCTGAGCGCCCTCCCAGTCAGTGTGTGCTCCTGGAAGGCAGGACTGTGTCCTTGGGCCCTCTGGTGGCAGAGCCAAGCCTAGGTCGTATCAGAGGGTCATTTTGTTCCTCAGTGCTTCCCAGAAAACCAGAAGGGAATCAAGTTTTATGGGTCCTGAAGTTTACAGAATTTCTTTAAGAAAAAAAAAACCAAATATGTGCAGGGCCTTACAAGAGGCTGGTGCAAGTGTGGGGTTCTGAAGGGGTAAATTCACCTCTGAAGGAAGCTTGCTCCCCCTCTGACTGGAGACAAGATCAACTGAAGTGCACATCACCCCTCCCCATCCCATGGGGCTCTTTGACTTGCCTTAGCCTGGTCTTGGTTTCGGCTAAGTCACCCAGCATGAGGGGTGCTCTGGTGGGTCATGAGTGGCCATGGGAAGTGGCCTTGTTTTTACCTCCCAAGTTAGGAGTTAGGCCTGGCCCTGCCCACTCCCACCTGCCCCTGAGCCTTACTCACACATCCCTCTGTTAAGCACTAGGGATGGGCTGGGCCAAAGAGGTCTCTGCCTTCTAGTCTAGTAGAGCAGTTTATAATCTGATCTTTTAAAAAAAATTGTCTCCCTTTGAAGGTATTCTGTATCTGTGGATGTCACATATTTACCCTCCTAATGCGCTGGGATCATGGGGGAAATTAGTCTGTGTTGAAAATGCATGCCCACCACATTTCTTCCATGACACCACCTAAGTTGGGCTTGGAATGTTCCTTGAAAGAAGAGGGAGGGTAAAAAGATTCCTGTGGTTGGGAAAATTACTGTATTAGGAGAGTAATACGTACTGCTGGGGTATGTGGAGGGGTAGAAATTGGCAGCAGTGTATGTATATAAATACACATATTTTTAATTTACTGCAAGTCATACTTGGCTTTATGCATCTTAAATCTACAAAAATGATCCCAACTAGGAAATAAACAATGTGGGATTTTTAAAAAATTAAAACCTGGATGTGAAAACCCCAGGAATTTTTTGTTGCCTATAATTTAATTCCTAATGTATCAGATACAATCCAAGTTTAACAGATTTTTTTTTGATTCTGGCAAGTATGTTAATAGGAAGCAATTATGTGAATTAATATAAAATCCTTTTATTAAAAAAACCCCAGAAAAGCCCTCATTTAAAGAGGTAATTTAATATTCCTTCTACGATGGTGTTGATGCCATCAAATTGTTTGATTAACTCTTCAAATGGTTTCAGAGCGCTTCAGGGAGGTAATTTATGAACTCCTAATTGATTCCCCCAATCTTGGTTTGGCAGAGCTGGGCCTCCTGGAAACTGGGGAGCCTGGAGACCCACATGTGGCTTCCTTCTCAGACAGGGGAGCTGGCCAGGATGGACTTGACCCCTGCGGCCAGTGCAGTGAGGGAGAGGAGGCTCTGGCACGGGAGACAAGAAGCCAGCATGTCTGCCCAGGCCAGTTGTGGTGGAAACACTGCAGGCAATTACACAGCTCATGAATTCAGGAATAGATGGCCCTTTAGCCCACCTCATTCAAGAATCATTTCCCACTATGTGTCACCTCAGAACATGAAGCTTCCTTGTGGGGGGGTAGACTGTGGGGTGTGCCCCTCACCATGGGCTCACCACCCCTGCATTGCCCTGTCCCAGCCACTGTTCCTCACTAGGCCTGTCTTGGTGCTGCACGGAGGAGGCTGCAGACCTTGGGAAGGATATAGGCCAGGCCCCCGCCTCTTCAGGCTGCCACGAAAGCTCACTGAGAAACTAAGGCCCTGGCAGGACCCAGGGAAGTGATCATACAGGTGGTAACTTTTATCGTGTGCCTGGTGATTATCTACTCTCGAAACCTCCTAGGGAGGGAAATGGCTGGCCCCACTTTGGAGATGAGAAAAATGAGGGTCAGAGAGTTTAGTAACAGGACACCAAACTAGTTAGTGGTGTGACTGGGACTCAACCTAGGCAGCCGAGCATCCCCACCCAGGTCAATAGATAGGTCACTGTATTCTTGGTTGCAGAGTATGCTCCTGAGGGTGGGCCTAGGCCTGGGCCTCCCTCCCCAGGTGAGGCCCAGACTGGTGTGAGGTGCTGGAAAGAGCTCCCACAGGCCTTGAAGTCTCATGGACCCAAACTTCAGCTCCCTCATCTGTAGAATGGGGGTGATATCTGCTTCGCTGGTTGTTGGGTAAAGAAGATACTATAAGTCCTTGGCACATTGACATGGACTCAGAGAATGTTTTCAGGAAAGGGGACAAGGAGGTGATGGGGCATGGAGAATTCCCAGCCATGTTGGGAGCCAAGTTGTGAGTCCAGAGTAAGGGAGTCGGGGTAGAGCCGTTTGGCGGGGGCAAGGGGTCTCAGTAGGGTGGTTGTGGGAAATGGGATGGGGCGAAAATTAGCCTGAACATTCTCCTGTGGGTGATGGGGCTCATTTGCTCATGTGTGAAGTACAAGCAAGGCTTTTGGGAGGAGGAAAAAGGACTCTCTCTGGGCTGTTAATATCTGGTAGCCATGCCAGGCTGCTGTGAGACTTGACCTCCTATCTACTGTGGGGCCAGAAACATCAAAGATCACCTGAAGCAAAAATTCAAATGCCATCTGCCCTGGATTAGGGCTGGGAGGACAAACGGAGCTACGAGCCCTGGCACCAGGACCTGGAGTGGCCGTGCCCAGGGTGGAGTTCATATGTGGAGGGAAGTGCCCCCATGTCATCCTCCGGAGGGGCACCAGAGTGCAGTGGCTACACCGTCAGACTCTGAGGCACAGCAGCCTCAGCCTCACTGCGGTCTGGGTTGTGTGCTGCTGGGCAGACCGCTCCACCGCTTCGTGCCTCAGTCTCCTCATCTGAAACGAAGCTGATGAGGTGCGCTCCTCCTGGGGCTGCTGCAGTCCTGAGGAGTGAGGGCATGGCTGCCTACTTGGAAGGAGAGCTCTTGGGATGATGCTTGGCACACGGTCAGCACCAGGACTCATTTCCGATTCACAGGGTTGTGTAATGTCTGGGGAAGGCTAGCCCCAGCACCGTGGAGGGCAGGCTGCCCCTCCCCAAGTGGACTCAGCTGAGCATCGATTGGCACAGTTGCAGGAAACGCTAAAAGCCAAACCTCTGGCCTCTGTTTCCCTCTCCGTTCCGCACCCTCTGTGAGGTTGTCAACAGCCACAGGAACTGCACCGTCAGTCAGGACTCAGAGTCCCCTCCAGCCCAGTGCCACCCGGGACTGAAATGTCCTCAGGGAGGGTTTCCAGCTCATCAGATGGTGGAGGACCATCGCCTCCCCTCTCACCCTCAGCACAGATCTGCTTTTGTCCCTGAAAGAGCCTTCAGAGCCAGCTGACCTTCCCCTCACTCCTCAGACCCTTTCCCACGTTCCACCTCAACCCCCATGCCCAAGGCTCTTTCCCTGTATAGCACTGAACTTAGAAGCCCTTCAAGTGTTGTTTACAAATGTCACTTGGGGGGAACAGAATGATTTTGTCACGAGGAGAACAAGGAGGGGCTGCAATGGAAAATTCAGAGCAACAGGACAAACACTAGGCCCTCGGATGCTGGGGCCTTAAGTGAGAAGCACCCCCGCCCCAGGCTCTCTCCCATCGTTCTGGGGAGTTGCCCCCTGGAATGTTTTCAGAGCTCCCCACTCCCAACTCTTGGGTTCCAGGCCCATGAAGTGCCACTGGGGCCACAGGACAAGGGCCCAGGGCCTAATGGGGGAGCCCTGGTCTGAGATGCCGGACATCTTCCCACCTTCCAGCCTACATGCATTGCTGTCTTGGTCAAGAGGCTGTGTCCCTCAGTGACCCAGTCTCTCCATCTCCACCAGAGCAGTCATCCCCAACCCCAACCTCCCACCAGGGCTGGGAAAAGCTTCCAAAATAGTCACTCTGTCCAAATGGTGCTTAGCATTACCCAGGACACAGGAAGAATTCTCGTCCCTGGGGTTTTGAGTACTTACTTGTAATGTGTGCCGCCCCACGCAGGATGTGAGTCACTACGGGTGTCTCCATTCCGCCCCCACCTCCCGCTGAGGTTTTTTTCCCCTCTGCTGGCTAAATGGATAACTGTAGAACCTTGCTGGAATATGATACATGATACAATGCATCCAGTGCCTCAGAAGGGCCCGATGGGCTTTAACTCACCCTATTATGCTTTAGAAATGTTCACTGAACTGGAAGCTTAGATTTAGAGGAAGAGAAGTGGAGAAAATTCCTTGAAATCTCTCGAGAAAGATGGGGCAACAAGAAGCCCGTCATACTAGAAGGATGTCAGCTGCTCTCAGCCGCTCCAGAAGCAGCGTGGAAAGAGGGCTCCTAATTCCCATACCCAGGCTCCCAGAGAACAATTGACTGGACACACAAGGTGCCACCCTCCCCACCCAGGGGCCTTACCTGTGCTCACCGGGTACTGGCCAGGTCAGGAGGTGCTGGTCTGTGGGGCGTGTGGCGGCTGCACACCCGGCCACCCCGACTGGCATCCAAGAGCCTATTTTTAGGGTCAGATCTGCTGACGCTGACCTTGTCCTGCCCAATCTGAGAAGAGACCTGTGGCATCTGCTTGCAAAGTGATTCACCCGTGTGACCTGAAACCCTTGACTTTGGGAGTCCTGTACCTGGAGCCCACACGCTTGTCCCTGGCCTGGCCACGGAGGCAGGACACGCAGCCACTAGGGCGGGGCCAGGCGGGGGATTTCCCAGCTTTGTTTTCTTGGGATGGACGAGGCCAGGTGCCTGCAGGGCCCTGCCCGGGGCTCTGTCCGGGAACAGCTGGCAGGCGGGAGATTGGCCTGCTGGCACAGAGCCCATGGGAGGATTGGGGGTGTCCATCCTGGAGAACTTTCCAGTCCACACTTTTCCAGGAGTTTGTGGGGCCATCTCTGGGGAGTGGGTGAAATGAATGCTACATCACGCAGGGTGATCAGTGAACCACCTCCGCCTCCCAGAGAAACTCTTGTAGCTTGGGTTCATTTGCATTGTGTTGCTATCTGTGAGACCACCGGCAAGTGTCTAATCCATGTGGGCTTTAATGGGGAAAATAGTCATAATGCCACCTTTTTATGTTGTCATGAGGTTTAAATGAGATGAAGTACGGAAAGTTCTCAGCACAGTGCCTGGCACAGGCTAAACATTTAAAAAATGCGAGGTGATGCTAGGATCCCCAGAATATTCCCAATTCAGCAGTCTTTCCCAGGTCTCTCTTCTTGGCGGTTCTTTCTCTAACATCCTGCCTCTTTGGCTCCAGCCTTCTTTGCTCCAGGAGCCCCACCAGCAACCCTACCACTGGGGTCCTCCTTTTTAGGGCTGATGGGCAAAGCCCTGTCCAGGCTTCCCTATTTTTCTAGTAAAATCTTTCCACGGCTTTTTACAGTTCCTTATAATGAATGACGTGGTTTTCCATCCTTCCCTATCCTGTCACCCTCTTTGGGCATCCTTCAATGTATGAAGGATTAGAGGGAGCAGGAAGGGGGTCACCAGTCTTCCCACATCCTTCACTTAATAGGGTCTCATGTCAGGGTCATTAATCCTGTTCTCTGTAGCTTTGTATTCAGCAAACCAAAGATCTTCCCCACAATTTTCATGTTCAGCTACTGTCAGTTTTATTTAGAGCAGTTATTTCTTCCAGTATTTTTCATTGTGAAACTGCTAAGACTTTGCTTTTATTAATTTCTTGGTGCAGAGACTAGTCACAAGGCAGGGACTCTGGATCTAAGTGTACAAGGAGGTCCAAGCGTCCCTGCTGTCAAGTACTGGAGTCAGAGCAGCAGGGCCAAAGCCCCTTCTGCAATCATCCCACAAACTTACAGGAGTCAGAAATGCTGGACCTGACACAGACTGAAGGAAGATTTCCGTCTAGCTAGGAGCCTGGTGGGTCAGTCCCTGCCCTAGCCCCATCCCAGGTCAATGCTAGGGAGGCACGAGGAGCTGCTGAAGATGCAGTTTCAGCAAGGGGCAAAAATCAGATGTCTAAAGACACCTGAGACACACAGATAGCTGATAAGAGAGGGAGACAGTATTTCACACTGTCTAGAAGGATGGCCTAGTAAATAAAGCCAAGAAAAGAATGCGGTGAGCTGCTGGATTATCACCCCCGTTAGAGTAGCCCCTGAATGTGGTGAGCAGAAGAGTGGTGCGCCTCTCCCCACTACCCCACATGCTCCCAATCCTACACACATTAAAGCAAGCCCAAACAGGCAGCACCGTGGGAGCCTCAGATAGCTGGTCCTCCACCATCCCTGCTGGCGGGCCACCGCCTGTTGAGACCGGAGTCCAGTGAGGAGAGCCCTTCATCCTGGGACATGGGGCAGGGCCGAAACGGCGGCCGCCCCTTCGCCCGTCACGCACTGCACGTTTGTGGGGAACCTGGTGCTAAACCATTCGTAGGGGACCTGCTTCTGGGTCAGGGTTTGGTATGTAGCAGAGCAGCTCCCTCACTGTGATCTATTGAAAGTCAGCCATCGACACAAGGGTTTGTTAAAAAAAAAAAATTAAAATCATATATAGAAAGAAAGAAAAAAATGCCCAAAACAGGGTGACAAAGGGTGGGAAACCACCTCATTAATTATGAGGAACTATAGGAAGTCCTGGGAGGAGCTTATTAGAAAAGAGTAGTGGTGGTAGCAGGAGTTACCTGGTCTGTCTTTAGGAGCTGAAGGGCTGACCTAGAGAAACAAGCAAAGCCTCTGCACAACCCTCAGGGCAGAACTCGGGCCGTGGGTAGATGCCCCAAAGCTGCCTTGTGTGGATGCAGCAAACACACTATTATGCCAGATGGGAGCAAGCCAGGTAACCGTCGGCTAGTCTCAGAGATGTCTCCAACTGTTCCAGGCTCAAGGACAGTCCGCCAGAACTCTGTACAACAAACAGTAAGCGGCACTAGTGCAGGTAAAGTATGGTCTGTAGAAAGAGCTGTTATTTTCATTGTAGCTTCTTAGGAACTTACGAATGGCAGCACCTGACATAGGTTTCTCCCTGACACCACCACCTTCTCTGACCTATGTGATTTTCATTAGCAGACTCCTTTTCCCCACAGTCTCCTTCTACTTTCTCCATTTTCACATATAGGTAGACACTGCGGTTTGTCCCAGCTTCTCTGAATGAGAACCACTCTTAGGCCCAGTGGCAAGACACGGTAGGCAGGACACACACACACCCCACCCCGCTCCCAAAGATGCCCACATCCTAATCCCTGGGACCTGTGACTGTGTTACAAGGCAACAGGGAATTGAGGTTGCAGATAGAATTGATGGCTAATCATCTGACCTTAAAAAGGGGAGAGTATCCTGCATCATCCAGGTAAGCCCAGTGTAATCACAAAGGTTCTTAAATGCGGAAGAGAGGCTGAAGAAGACGTTGGAGAGATGCATCGTGAGAAGGACTCAGCTCCTCGTTGCTGGCTTTGAAAATGGAAGAAGGGGCCGCAAGCCAAAGAACAGCCTCTAGAAGCTGGAAAAGGCACGGCAACAGATCCTTCCCTAGAACCTGCAGAAGGAATACAATTCTGCCAACACCTTCGTTTAATCCAGTGAGAACCAAGTCGGGCTTCTGACCTACAGAACTGTAAGATGATAAATGTTGCTTTAAGCCACTAAGTTTGAGGTCATTTGTTACAGCAGCAACAGTATATTAATATATGAGATTTGACTAATGCATGACTTTCCTGGGTCCAAAAGATCCAGAGGCTTCTAGTGCTCTGTGGGCATCTGAGTTTATGTGGACACGGAGTCCAGCTTGAGCCCAGGGGAAAGGGTGTCTTCCCAGACAGAGCCCAGAGGGCCAGGGCCACATCTCTACACATCTCTATGGCAGATATGTCTTGTCTGATGACTGTAAGCCCTCTGCTATCCTAGAGGTCTCGCTCTTCTTTCACACTGAAAAAAAAAAAAAAAAAAAAGAAACGGACTAAGGCCCGTGTTCTTTCTGCAGGACTCTCAGGGCCCTCCACAGCATCTCGAAGGACTGCTTTCCTTCGGGAGGGGTGCAGGTAGGATGGCTCTTGTTTCTCCTGAGCCAGTTTCCCTGTAACCTGCTCACTGGCACCCTCTGGCCTCCCCCTTCTTCACCCTCACCCCAAGCTCAACACCACCCTCTTCTGAGCTCCCTCCAAACCACCACCCACCCAATGCCATTGTGCGCGGCAGAGGGGACCACAGCACAGAGCAGGAGACAACTCCCCATTCAATGTCTGACTCCCTGTTCTTAGAAAACTGTTGGCCGGGCCCCGTCCCCAGGGAATTTCTCCCTGCAGAGACGTCTGTTCTGTACCTGCCATGTTCACATACCTGTATCTCCATTCTGAGTCTCTCCTCCTCTTGTCTAGAGCTCCCTCAAGAGGCTCCAGATTTCTGTTCCCTGAAGATTATGCAAAGCAGGTCAGCTCCCTCCCAAGCAGGATACACTAGGGGCCTCCCTTCCTCATCCAGAAAGCCCACCAAGGCATTTTCCTGGATAAGCCTTCAATCCAAGAGGGGGACTTTTTGATTTCCTTTGACAATATCATTCTTAGACCCTGGTAGCAGGAGCCCCTGACCTGAGGTTGTTTTCCAGAGGTCCACGCATATCTCTCTCCCTCTCTCTCACACACACACACACACACACACACACACTTGAGATACTGCTAAGCACTCATTAGAATGGCTAAAAACAAACACGAACCCAACAATACCAAACTCCAGTAAGAATTTTGGGGGTGCTGGGGCTGTTCTGTACCTTGGCCATGGTGGTGATTACACAACTATACACATTTATCAGTAAAACTAAGAAGAGTGAACTTTGCTGCATGTTTAAAAATAAAAAAGAATACGGGTGCCTCGTTCACCTGGGATCTGGCTTTTGGCACTGGCAGAGAGTGACTCATAACTCTGTCCACTTCTATGACTAACGCTGTTTGGGCCACAGAGAATGTGTTTCCCCTTGTCTCGCTCTGCGTCCTCAAAATAAAAGGTGACCAAGTCTGAATTCCGTGAAGGTCGGTGGGTTGTGTTGCTGGTAACCTGGGAGTCCAGGGAGGATCTGCGATGTGTAAGCACTTGGGTGAGAGAACAGACAGCTTATCCCACTTAACCAGCCATCCGCTCAGATAGCACGCAAACCTGGTAGCACCGAGCGTCCATTGTGTGTCTGCGTTCTGCTCCAGCGTTCTGGAGGTGACCTGGGATTAGAGTGATATTCACAACAGTTACACAACAACTGAGGGATATTTTGGTACATTAGACAAGCCATAGGGTTCTTCAAAGTGTGTATACATAGAGCTAGATGTAATAAATGTGAAGCATAATACCAGTCCTTTACACTGACTCCTAGGATTGTCACTCATTTTATTTTTATTACCGTAGTCATAAGATTTAACAAAACTCTCAGAGAAGTGACTTAAGATTTTCAGATTTTATTCAGATCTTTTGGATTAAAACTTTGATACTCAATAATTATTTATTACCTTTTATTTAGTAGAGACTTCAAACATTTTAGAAAAAGAATTCTTGAAACGTACACAGAAATATTTTGTTTTTTATTTTCATTTGTTTTGCATTTTGATAAAAATATTTACATTTACTCACTTTGAATTCAGTTACATTTCATTTTTGATCCTGCAGATCAGCTCCATTCAATAGAAGTATGATGCAAGCTAGGTATGCAATTTAGTTTTC